GGTTTAACGAGTACCTAGGTTTGCTGCCACAAGGAAAATAAAACTAATAAAGTGTGTTTTAGTAAAATATTAATAGCTTAGTATAAAATAAATAAATTTGCCAAGTTTGATCAAAATATATCCATAAACAAACAAACTACAACATTTTCAATATTCTCCATAAGAATAACATGGGAATTTTTCATTTACAATTTTTTGAATTTTCTCCGTTACCAATAATCGTACAAAAACACTTTGATATACTAAATTATTTGTTTTTTTAAGCTCTTTAATATGGTCTAGAGATAAATTGGGAAATTTTGTGTTTTAGGGGTCAAAAATGAAAAAAACCAATTTTTACCCCATAAAACCCCCCGTGAATCCCCGTTCCCATGGTCCGATCATGCTGGTTCGCGAACTCATTCAAGTTTATCCCGCCTTACACCTTTAAACCAAATTTCATCAAAATCGGACAAAAATTACTCAAGTTATCAAGTTAATTAGTTAGATGGACACACATATATATATATATATATATATATATATACTGTAGATATATAGATATATAAAAATTTGAACGAATGGTGTTTTTGGCCTCTGGGGACATCAAAATGAAAAAGTAAATCGGTCCCGGGCCTAGGTCTTACCATGAGACCTACGGTAATAGCTACTTCCCTATAGGGAAATTCGCTAAAAGGGTGAAAAATGGATATAAAAGAAGAACTAGAAATCTATCTACACTCAAAAGAACACGGCAACCAAATTCTTAATATAATGCAAAAACAAAAACAAAATCCAATTCATGAAAAAATCATACAAATCAGGGAAGAATCTTATACATTCACATGTTAAAAAAATACACAAACCATTTAATCAAAATTTATTATGCATCCAAAACATATGTTATTAACTATTTATTTATTTGTTTGTTTACATACTTTTATAATACTGTGATCATGGCCTTAGTTCCGAAATACGTATTAGTTTAATAAAAATGAATTTCAGGGTACTCTGGTGTTTATTATTTTACTTATATATATATATAATAAGTATGGTTGTGATTAGGGCTACTACTATATTAATAATTGAAAACATTATAAAAACATTAAGTACCCTTTTAACCCTCCAGGTGTCCAATACAAAACCCCAGAATGTCCAAGCATTTTGTATGATTTTGCGAAGTTTTAGTTTAATTTAAATCAATCATGTAAATAATGTCTGAAGGTTATAATGTTATATATTTCCTAAAAGTAGACAAACAGGCCTATCTGAAAAATATATATTTGATATCCTTACTTCAATTTTCAGGTCTAATGTAAGGGTCCGAATCCGAAAGTTGCAAAAACTTTTTTTTATTTTTTTGGTGACCACTCATGTAAAACCACTTTAGGTACACTAAATCAAAAATCCAAGATATACATTTTGTAGACAATTTCATTAGGAACAAGAAAATATATACTCTTACAGGGATTATTAGACTATTTACAGAGAAAAATTAAAATTCTACCACTATATACACGTCAATACCGCGCTGTAACTGCTGATGATTTCGCGAAGTTTTAGTTAAATGTAAATAAATCATGTAAATAATCTCTGAAGGTTATAAAATTATATATTTTCTTAAAAACAGGCCTATCTAAAAAATATATACTTGATGTCCTTACCTTAAATATCAGCTCTGATGTAAGGGTCCAAATCCAAAAGTTGTAAACAAATTTTGCATTTTCTTGATTGTCACTCTTGTTAAACAACTTTAAATGCACTAAATAAAAAATCCAAGGTAACCATTTTGAAGACAATTTCATTGGGAACAAGAAAATATATACTTTTATAGGGGTATTTGCACTATTTACAGAAAAAAATTAAAATTTACAACTATATACACGACACAACCGCACTGTCTGGGGTTCACTTACTCTGGTTCCGGCACTTTTCGCTTCTTGACAGCTCTTGTATTCCTCCAAAAGTGCTGAAGCTGATGATAACACTCCTTGTGGACACCAACATTGCAGCCAGGGCACCAATAGGTAGCCTTTCTGCCACACACAGCACAAACTCGATTCAAATTATTGGGCACTTTCTCCATTTTGTGTGCGGTGTCACCTGCTGGACCTGGAGTCGGAACTTCTCCTGATTTAGCCAAGGTTTCTACAATATTTACATAAAAGTCCCTTCTGGCTAATGGCTTGTCTGTATTTAATGAATACAAGACATATGAATTAAAAAGAGCGATATCAAGAAAGTTATAAAAGATCCTCTTCCAATATTTTGTTGTCTGTCGGTTACACGATAAGTGATAGATTGATTTGTCGCTGACATCCACCCCTCCCATCCACTGATTGTATTTATGAATAAGGATAGGCTTTACTGCTTCTTGACCTTTTTTGCTCTGGACAAGCTTGTCTTCTGCGTGGCATGCAGAGGTCAAGGCGAAAACTGGTTTTCTTGAAGCGCTCTGCCGGTACGAAACAAGAAGTACCTCTTTGTGCCTAAAGTAAAGAGTTTGTCCAGCTTCTAGGTTACTATTTTTGATTGTTTCTGCAAGGTACTGTGATCTTTTGTTGATAGTTCCAGTGAGGAAGGTGTTCCTTTCATGCAGCTTCAATGCCAGAGGTACTTTGGTATAAAATTGGTCTGTAAAGAGGTGGTGGCCTTTGTCGAGGAGACCACTCTTCTCCATCACCTCCAACACACATTTTTCAACAAAAGGCCCTGGTTTATCTTGGAGGAAATGTGTACCACTGTACATTTCAATATGTAAGACATAACTGGTTGCAGAGTCACATGTTTCAAATTTTTTTATCCCAAACTGTTTGTGCTTCTTCTTCGGTAGGTACTGTATATAGGCGCAACGGTTTTTCATGCCTATAAGGCTCTCATCGAGGCAAACGTTTTGACCAGGGATAAAGTACTTCTTGAATGCCCAATTTAGATGGTCTAGAAGGTATCTTACCTTGAACCAAGGGTCGAATTTGGGATGGCCTCGAGGAAATCCATTGTGGGTGGTCAGCTGTAGGTTGGACAAAATAAGTAAAAACTTATTGCAGCTCATTACTCTAGAAAAAAATGGATGAGTCTGCGATTCTCTAGTGTCCCAATAGCCTTTGACATTTTTTGTCCTCCATAGGCCCATGTTGATAAACAAACCAAAGAACTTTTTGATATCTGCAATAGTGCAATCGGTCCATCTTTTCAGCCTAGAGTGAGGGGACAAGTTGTCACGTTTCTCTTCAAGTTTCTTTTTAGCGGACGCATTGGTACACCTACAGATAATATTCCAAATGGCCTGGGTAAAAAATAGATTAAAGTAATCTATTGGATTACTATTCCTAGGGGGGAGATCTTGAGGGCCAGTGTTCCTCCTTGTAAATTTTGACTCTATTTCCTTTTCTGGCTCTGGAGGATACACACGAATCCAAAGCTTATTTGGAGGACGTTTTTTCTTTTTCTTTGGCCTAGGCCCACTACTGCTAGGTGCCTTACTTGTACTAGGTAAACTTACTAGTTCTTCAGGCTCCCCAGGATCGTCGACAAGTTCCTCCCTATCACTTGTGTCCAAATCATCAAAATTGGGAACGTATTCTTCCCCACTTCCACTTTAGAAGTCCAACCAATCTTCGGAATCAGTTTCCTGAGGGGGTACATCTTTATCAATAGAAAACTCGCGAAAATGGCCATCATATTTAGTTGTCATGAAGCCCTGAAATCCCCTGAACGTGTAGATATGGGTAGTGAGACGATTCTAGCGCTGGTATGGTTTTAAATTGAGCGAAACCGAGCGAATGTACAGTCGCCCGAAATCGGGCGATTGACACTCGGCGGCCAAAAATGATCGCCCAAAATCGTGCGATTGACACTTGGAGGGTTAAATTCATTTTAATTGACAAACGACATGTTTCAACACTTAGGTCATAGTCATGTTTTTATACAAATTCTATAATTGAAAAAATTATTCGAAAGAAAATTAAGAAGAAATTTGAAACACAAAGATCGATTGAAGAAAACAATAGAAAAGAATATATTTGCATACCCCATAGTACAACATTAAACAAAGCAACTAGAAAAACCTTCCAAAATTCTAATTTGAAAATAAGTTTCAGAACTAAAAATAATGCCTTTCAGATAATAAAAAACAAAATTTCTAATGAAGCATATAACAACCAAGTTAAAGATGTAAACAAATCAGGCATTTATCAAATTGTTCAGACTGTAATAAATCCTACATTGGCCAAACAAGTCGTAGCTTTAAAAAAAAGGTTCCAAGAACATATACAAGCGTTAAAATCAGGTAACAAAATGACAATGTAATCAAATTTTGCAGAGCACCTAATCAAAACTTTACATGAATACAAAAATATAAATGAAAATTTAGAAATTCTAGAATATGAAAGAAATAAAACAAAATTAAATGTCAAAGAAGATTTTCATATATACACAAATTACAAAATATTTCCTCAAAATTTACTGAATACCATGAACATGAACCAAACAAATTCGATATTTAAAAAAATCCTACAGTTGCAATAAAACAGAAATATTATATAATATACGCAAAATTAAACAAAGAATAGATCAAGATCCTCTAATTTTAAGTTAGCTTAACATATGACTATATTTGTTCCTTTCATTAATTTGTATAAAAACATGACTATGACCTAAGTGTTGAAACATGTCGTTTGTTAATTAAAATGACTTTAAAAGGGTACTTAAGGTTTTTATAATGTTTTCAATTATAAATAAATATATATATATATATATATATATATATATATAAGAGAATAAGAGAATTAAAAAAAAATGAAACCATTATCTTAAAGTATTAATTTTAACATTTTTCTCGATAACTGGTACCATTCTGGTCCACAGTTCGTCAAGTGTACCGATTGTACTATATTTTGTTCAATAATATCCACTGAATAGTGAATATGCTCTCAAAATCACTCTACTTACTTTCTTTTCAAAATATTTTACTCGTACAACGTTAAATCAATTTTAATGTTATGCCTTCTGTCTGTTGTCAGGTAACAACACCCTTGGTCGGTACCTCAGCAGCTTGGACGCTGTTTACAATGCTGCGTTTGGCAATGAGAGTTGGAAAGATCTCCTGGAGAAGGGAGAAACTAATGAACCTGTTAACAGAATACAACGGTATCTGCTCCAGTCCAACACCACAGTCAACCTCCCTATTGCAGAAGCTATGCTCACTTACAAAGAGAAAAGGTGAGTAGCCCAAATTTTTGGTAGGTTTCCTAAAGCAACAAACTTAACTGTTGTTTGTGTTTTATTACACTTGTTTACATTTATCTGTAACTGATAGTTGTGGATTTATTTTTTAGTCGATTCAAGTGATTTTTTGTATCAAGTGATCAAAACTAAATATTTCTGACCGGGTAAATGTAACTGTTAATTAAATAAAATTCAGGGTGTCTAGTAGTCGGGAATCAGTATTGAATTTCAAAATGGTCTTGAAAAGTCGGGATTTAGTCTTTATTAACCAAGCAACGCATACTTCAGAATTTATCACAAAAATGTTTCTCTCACATAATTATTGTAAACTTTTGTACATATGTAAAACTGATGAGCTTGGCTCAGAATTTTGCTAAGTTTGTCGTATTATGGTACATGGCGAACAAGTGGTGCATATCTAGTTCTAGTTAGTACTGATTTGGTGAAAAATATTTAAAATTCTGTACAAACAAATTTACTTAACATTTTAAACTACTGCACTTGTTTTTATTTATCTACCTTGGATAAAAGGCAACCGAAAAAATGATTCTTAGTACTCATTTTATTAAAGATGTAAAACATAAAAACTAAACAGTAAAATCCGAACGTAAACAATCATTAGAAAATAATTACTAGCTGACTAGCTGGAATAGCAGGATGGCTACCAAACGAAGAAGAACCAAAGAAACTAACAGAATCCTTTTGGTAAAAAGAAGCAAGATGCCTAGCATCCATCTTCACCAAATTTCTGAAATTAGTAATTTTCCTATTGGTCAACGAGTAGAGAACATAAACTTTCGTTCAGTTGATCAACCTAACTACTTGATTATTTTATCCTAAATTTAATTTGACCCGGCAGGCTTGCAACTGACTTTTTGTTTTTAAAAGGTATTACATGTTTATTTTTTGTCATAACGCTATTTTTTTTTTTTTTTTTTTTTTTCGCTGAATGACTGTCTGTTATCTGTTGTTGTTTTGAATACATCGTATACCTTGTCCACTCAGGACCTTATTTACCGTTAATTTTGTTCATAATTCTTAAAGTGTTCGTGAATTAAAATTTATATGTCTAGGTTCAGCTTTAATTTATTGTTTTAACCCAATTTTCTTGTTGTATAGTTCACCTGCTACAATTACCCCCCTATAAATTGGATTAAATTGCCAATTTCCTTTGCAAATTCTTACAATTTCTACAAATCTTTGACAAGAAGGTCAAAACAATTTTTTTTATTGGCTCTTGTCCCTAATCTAAAACCCGCTTAAACTATAAAGACAATTTGAAAATCTGAAAACTAAACATTAATTTACAAAAAACACACTTTAAATTTCTATCTTGTTATTTCAAATGTTCTCTTTGGGAACCCTCTCATTGTTCAACTTGGACACACACTGGCGCAAATTCAAGTGCAGTTTTTTTATCAAACTTCGGGTTGAACAAGGGGTTATTAGTTCATGTAAGGCTCACCGCACTTTGGAGCGAAGCAAAGTGCAGGGTAGGTGTAGGCGAGACGCAGCTAATTCTGTTATACACGTGTTTAAATGGAGCACCGCACATTGAGAGGCTGAGCGCAGACTCCGCGCAGCACAGTTACAGCCTCTGTCAGGCGTCCACGGCATTGTAGTTGGAATACAGTTTTCCTGCACCTCGCTCACGCCTGCGTTGGTTTTCTAGTGTTTTGTGAGTGAAATAATTCAGATGGCTATTTGTTGTTGAGCATTGCATTCCTCTCCCCTAGTGTCACTTGCAATCAAATGATGGATATCGTCAAACTGTTATTTGTTCACACAAAAATATTCTCTAAAAGACCGGTCTGGCAGTTCAGTAGTTAAAACATACTCTCCATGGCTTATTTTTTTTTGTGTAATCACATTTCCAAAAACTTTTTTAAGTTTTTCGGATAGCGAACAGAGTAAAACTAAATTATCAAACTCACAATCAGAATAAGTGAAGGTCCAAAAAAACTTCCTCTACTCGTGACAGTAGGACCAAAGCTAGGAAATCTCTGTCCCGCCTCGCTTCAATGTGTGGTGACACAAAAAAGTTCTCGCTCCCGCCTGCACCTCACCTCGCTCCAATGTGCGGCGGGCCTAAGTATAGTCAGTAGCAGTTATTTTGTGGCAAAGTTCAAACACAGCACTTAAGTAATTTTTAAGTAAATAATGTTCAAGCAATCTGAAATAGTTTTAATTTAGGAGACTATTTTGTAATAGTTACAGGCACTTTTTATCATTGCAGTACACAGGTAACTATTAGTCTACTCTTGTCTTAACTTTAACAAAGTTCAGAGTCACTTACCTTATTATCTTTGAAGCCGATCCCAAAAGGGCTTCGCTTTGCTCCGCTCAATAAATGTCTCAGCAAACCTAAGGACTATAACAGTAATAACAGTAAGACTATAACAGTATAAATAATATTGGGGTTATCGACTATAGATGTTTCATATTGAGTAATAGCAGGATCTCAGGTCTTCCATGATTTTAACACTCTAACTCCAGCACCTCAACACATCACAACAGCTGTTCCAAACTGCTGCAGCACCCAGCAGCTTACACTATAGTAAAGCCGGGTTTGCACGATGCCAGTAGGCAAGCCAATTGTCGTCACGTGGTTGCGGAATTGTCGTAGGCCAGGCACGTTGAACGAGAACCTGTTCAGCGCACACACACACAAACACTTGCCCAGGCATTTTACCTGGAACCAGGGTACTACTGCCAAAAGACAAGACAGTGCTATTGCCTCTACACTGTTTACACGGCGCCAATTGTCACGACAACTGGGTTTTCGAGGGGTGGGGGCCTCACTGGGCCCAGCTCATTGTCCTCAGTCTACTCCCAGAGACAACTGAATTTCGGGGCAATTGGCGGGCCAGTAATTTCAAGTCAGTCAGTTGTCTCCTGACAATTGTCTCGCCAACTGGCATCATGTAAACCCGGCTTAACAATGCTTCCATTTGAAATTTATTGAAACAACTAGCTGTGTACCCGTTCTACGCACGGGGATCTTATAATATTCAGTTGAAACCTTCTTATATAACGAACAGCAGTTGGTTTGCATATTTTAAGATATGCTGGCCAAACTATTATACATAGCTTCATTTTATGTTGTTTTTTGTTGTTCCGGATCGGTATGACAATCAATAAAAGGTTAAATTACCTCTGTGTCTGCCGGTCGATCCTATAACGGTAGGCTTACTTTTATTTTTACTATCTGATCTCGTTTGCATGGCTCAATCACGTCCTGGTTGAAGTTCGTTCGCTACGCTCACTCACCTGTATGTTGGAGCTCGTTCGCTGCGCTCACTTTCCTTCAGGTTAGCTCGTTCGCTACGCTCACTTGCCTTCAGGTTAGCTCGTTCGCTACGCTCACTCGCCTCCAGGTTGCAAATTAGCTGTTGTCATAAATGTAAAAGAAATAATAGTGCTAGTGCTGCACCCTGTTGGTAATCCTTGTAACTTTAATGCTATTGAACATCACAGAACAGAACCAACTTGTTTAATTGAAACAGCTGTTAAGATTCAATAATTTCATTTCTCATAAGGTTAACATGGGCTTCCAGAAATTCCACGTCAAAAATCGACAAAAACTTGATTTTCAAGGGTTTACTGTTAAATATCTAACTGTCTCATATTCGATGAAATACGTCTAAAACCATCTCATATATGTATAGTATTTGGAAAATAAGTTTCAGGCGGGACAGTGCTATAGTTATTGAGGAGTAGTTGTAATAAAGTGCGTATTTTAGCGTTACCAAGAGAATGACAGATAGACAGACAGACAGACAGACAGACAGACAGACAGAAATTGAGATAAGGTTTGATTCGGTTTCTCTGACCTATGAAATGTAAAAATAACCAAAAAGTTCATTATTCTAAGCAATGTACAGACAAAACTCTAATTTTATTTATATAGATTAGCAAACACATCACACACTATGTGATTGTATTTTTTGTATTATTTTGTAGATTGTATTTCTGATTTGTTGAAATTTATTGGGGGAGCGAGCTGGCGTAGTGGTTAGAGCGCAGGACTTCAGTCCCTGAGGTCCCGGGTTCGATCCCCGCCAAGTCACCAATGGATTTGATCTAAAGCCGGGTTTACACGATGCCAGTTGGCGAGACAATTGTCAGGAGACAACTGACTGGCTTGGAATTACTGGCTTCGTGTAAACACTTCAGGCCAATTGGCCCGCCAACTGTCCCGAAATTCAGTTGTCTCCGGGGACTGAGGACAATGAGCTGGGCCCAGTGAGGCCCCCACCCCTCGAAAACCCAGTTGTCGTGACAATTGGCGCCGTGTAAACGGTGTAGAGGCCAATAGCACTGTCTTGTCTTTTGGCAGTAGTACCCTGGTTCACTGTAAAATGTCTGGGCAAGTGTTGGCCACGTGTGAACAGGTTCTCGTTCAACTTGCCTGGCCTACGACAATTCCAAAACCACGTGATGCCAATTGGCAAAGACAATTGTCTTGCCAACTGGCATCGTGTAAACCCGGCTTAAGTGATAATGCCCCAACCCCTAGGTCTAGCCTGAAGTAATGTGAAAAACAATCCCGGGCTCGTGCCTAGCGTCCTAGGATAAAAAAATTCGAAATTTATTGCCCTGCAACTTGTTTAGCTTCTAAAATGTCCGTTAAATTTTAAATTACTTATCATTCTCATAGAAACAGTTTTTTTCAAGTTGAATGAAATCCAAAAACTCTGTTACTGTTCTGCAATGTTGCAGGAAATCTTTATCTTTGGAGGAACTCAGCCCTAGAAAAAATAGAATCTTCCATAACCCAACTGAGGCTTTACACCGACTGTTGGCAACTAATAGGCTTCGGTGTGTAGAAGTAAGAATGATGTGCTCTAATCTTCTATAAGCCTTTAAATGGACTTGGGCTTTTTTTCCTTTTTTCTCTTTATTATTTTTGTGTGTCTTTCTCCTATTAACTTATAATATTAACTATTCTCTTAACCCAATTATATGAAATTGATTTTATCGTGATGTAATAACAATAGTAGCTTGCAAATCATCAAAATGGCTTGTCATGCCAAAACTATATCTCAAATAATGAAATAAACTATATTTTTCATTGAAGTGAAGCTCTTAGGGATTGACTTCAATACAAATTTTGTTACAGCACCACATCAAAAACGGCTGAACATATTTTAACTAAACTTACCAAGGATATTTTGACAACCAAAGGGAAGGTTTGCGAGTAAACCAATTTCAATTTGATAATGATTATGCAATTTATAATCAACTTATATTATTTTTTTTATTTTTAGTAGATGTAAATAAAGAATCAAAGCATATTTTTAACTACAATCCATCAAGCTCACCAAGTTGGCCATTCCATGGTGTCAAATTTTTCATCTAGTTCAAATTTAAGCTTGAATAGTGACCCAACTATACATACATTTCCAGCTTACATTCCATAGCCCGCAAAGCAACCCTCAAAGGCCCACTCTTGTTATGTTTTTTCCCTTATAAGTTGGGATATCTCGATTCCCTATACCACCGATACTTGGATATTGGTATTGGTATCGAGAATCGATTGACAAGGAAAAAGTCAATGCCAATAACAATACCCTGATTCGTCAGCGAAGATAGCATAATCAAGAAAGTTACTGCTTTTGCCGTGATCAAGGATAACAACAATTAAGTTTCCATGACTGCGGGAGACAATGATGTCTACACCACCGCGGTATATGATCAGAATTTTGCCGCAATTGTGGAGGATGAAGATAATGTCAACATGGCCGTGTGAGATGTTCATGATTTTTCCGTGATCGGGGAAGACGTTTGCGGTGATGATTCCGTTATCTATAACCGTGGTTTGTATATTCAGGATTTTACCATGACTGCAGGAGACAATGATGTCTACACAACCAGGGGTGACAATCAGATTTTAACACAATCGCAGAAAAATTTGTCTACCCTTCTGCTGTGAGTTCTAAGGGGAGTGGGAGGGGGGGTTGCTAAGGGAGTGCCTCAGGGCTCTGTCCTGGGACCAATCCTTTTCCTTCTTTTTATTAACAACCTCTCTTCCTGCTTAACTTCCTCAAAGCTATCAATCACTGTTAGTTTCTAGCTTCGATTTTCTATATCTGGAACAAATTAGTTTTTTGGAGGCAAAAGCTAGAATTCAATGGATTGGCCACAGTTTATTGAAAATCACCACAGGCAAAACACAGCTCATTAACTTCTGTTTATCAAATTGATCAAACAATTGGTTTATTCTCCTTCTGGACGAACCTGAGGTTCACCCTACATCGAATGTTAATTTCCTTGGATTGACCTTAGACGAGAAATTTAGTTTTCATGGCTATGTCAAATACATTTTTAAAAACTCAGTTCTGGTATTTTCGTTTTACGTAACCTCGGGAACAATAAGAATCTGGAGATACTGCTGACGACATACAAACTCTATGGGGCTTATTTATCCCCACTTAGCATATGCGGGGATGTGAGTGCCAGCAGACTAAAATGTTTGAGCTCCAAAAATGGCTGCGAGAACTATTTTCTCTCTAAAAAAGCACAAATCTTGCCTTGAATATTTTTTTCAATTCAAGAATTTTGACATTCCCATCTATTAACATTCTTGAATCTGTAACATTAGTGAAACAGGAATTTTCTCAATTTGAGTGTTCTGTAAAAAACCAATAGACATTTCACAATTCATACACATTAAAAATTCCTAAACATTAAACAACTTTTTCAAGAAACACTTTCTGTACAATGGTATAACACTTTTGATTCACTTCCACTTTCCCTTAAACTTGAACCAAACCTGTTAAAATAAAATAATAAAAAATGCAATCTTTGTTGATAAAGTTAACCTGGTTACAGCGTCCAAGAACTTGCAATTAAAATCAGCTTCAAAAAATAGTGATGTAAATCTATACTTATAAAATTCAAATACCACTCACTCACTGATCACTATATCTATTTTCTATATCTATCTATATCTATATTTGGGGGTTGAACAAGTGTTTTACTGCATAACAGATTTGTAATAGTTAAATGAATTAAAAAATCAAGAAGTGCAGGCCCTACTCAGGTTGAACATTTAACGTTTTAATTTTCGTGAGCTATGCCACAACAGGTTTTCTAGTATCCATATATAAAATCATACGTTAAGCCGTTTTTTGTTAACACTACTCCTCCCTTATTTGAGGACCAATTTCAACGTTAGAGGTGTCAAAAGATTCTTCTCAATTTGTAGTTTTGCAATAACGTTTTAGAATTTCAAAATTATTACCCTCAAGGGCGCAAGGCGCTCTCAAAGGTTGACTTTTCCCCATAAGAATTACACAGAACAAATTTAAAAACAGCTGTTTAAAAAAAAGAAACTTAGTTGCTTTTTTGGGATCAAATATTGATGTTTGTAATTTTTGAAGACTTTTTTCCTTTGAACTGTCTCCATCATGTTGTGTGTATTTTTCATATGTTATTATTTTTCTGTTTACTTTTTTATTAGATTGTGATTGTTTTTTATTGCTCATTAATTTACTCATTGTTAACATGTTTTCTCATTTCTTTATAATAATTTAAATATTTTTTTCCTTTCCCAATCCACATTTGGTCCTTCGGGCCGGATGTAAACCTGGTAACTATATTCATTACTCGTTAACATTATCCCATTTATAATCTAAAATGTTCTACTCAGTTCCCTTACAGTCCACTACTATTTCGTTGTTTTTGAAGTTTACCTGATTATACTCTTTTTGGACTCAGATCATGACACCCTCACCCCCCTCAGATCATAAACTCTTTACTTACTTATAATACTATTATTTTTGGTGTAAATCAAAACAAGCTCAAGTTAAATTGATTATTAACTTTTTGTGCACTTAATAGCATATACATGCCTCCTTCTAGTTAAAGACTATATTGAAAGAAACTTATTATCTATATCTTTGATGCACAATTCATCTTTTTGACTTCATACTGAGATTTTGTGTGTGCTCAAGACCTTTTTATATTGTGTGTCCTGCTGGTAAATTTTGATACTTGGAGAAATCAGGCACAAGCAATATTAATAATACCCCAGCCGCAGCAAATCTGCAGACTAAGCGAATTTCCATTTGCCTTATTGGATTTACACAAAAATATCTCATTGAAAAAATCACATTTTTATTCCCTATTTAAATAGCATTAGTTTAACGAGTACTTAGGTTTGCTGTGACATGGAGGGTAAAAGGTATTTTTAGTCAAATGTAAACAGTTTAGTATGAAACTAGAGCTGGCCCCGTGGTCGAAAACTCGACCAAAAGTATACATTGTGCAAACTTCTCTATTTTCACCCGACGCTGTAATTAAAACATGTGATTGAAATTTCTTCCATTTTGTTTCGATTTTCTGTTTATATTTTTTTTTAGTTTTGTCACCAACGTTGCAACCAATATAAGGCCTATGTAATTTTTTTTAAATAAATTTTTTGTGCTGTTTTGATTGGGATTCTGCACATCTACAGACAACTAACTTTCTAACAGTATGCGTAGATTTTCCCTGAGATGCACAGGAGCTGAGAAAGAAGGTTTTCAATAATCATGCTTACCTATTAATATACAGGGTGTCCATAAAAAACGTTTCAGAACTTTGGGAAATGAATCCCCATACTAAAAGGAAGAAAAAAGTTTATGGGAAGGTATGTCCGAAAATGCATATTAACCCAGATATCCGCCATTTTGTTTTTTATACAAAAATATTTTTATCTGTGAAATTTTTTATTTGACGATTATGAAATTTGGTATACATGTTAACATACACAAGACCTATAATAGAAAAAATAATAAAGTTGTTCCGATTGTAAATTTCAAAATGGCGGCCGTTTTAATTTTTCTAACTTAAATAACTCAAAAACGGCTAATTCTACAAAAAATGCCAAGAATACTTTTTTTAGCATTTTTAATTTCCTATCAAACGATACCAAGATCAAAAAGATCGGACAAATGATAACTAAAATATAACGTTTTTTGTGTAAAAATAAGGCAAAAATTAAGGGTTCCCCGACTAACTTTGCCTTATTTTTACACAAAAAACGTTATATTTCAGTTATCATTTGTCCGATCTTTTTGATCTTGGTATCGTTTGATAGGGAATTAAAAATGCTAAAAAAAAGTATTCTTGGCATTTTTTCGTAGAATTAGCCGTTTTTGAGTTATTTAAGTTAGAAAAATTAAAACGGCCGCCATTTTGAAATTTACAATCGGAACAACTTTATTATTTTTATATTTTAGGTCTTGTGTATGTTAACATGTATACCAAATTTCATAATGGTCGAATAAAAAATTTCACAGATAAAAATATTTTTGTATAAAAAACAAAATGGCGGATATCTGGGTTAATATGCATTTTCGGACATACCTTCCCATAAACTTTTTTCTTCCTTTTAGTATGGGGATTCATTTCCCAAAGTCCTGAAACGTTTTTTATGGACACCCTGTATAGAATTAGCCCCATGTTACATCTCCATAAGAAACGTATATTTCCATTTTTGATCTAATTAACATATATCTTCGGAATACAAATTATAAAACCTGCACACTATTAGGACCGATAACCTTTCTTTTGGTACAAGCCGCGCGTAATTCGGTCCAGTAGTGTGGTCAGGCTAGCTGTCTTAAACTTTAAATGTTGGCACAATGTTATTTTTATATTGGTTCCTAGAGGTCGCTACTCTAACTCAACAAAAAACTCAACCAAAAAAATACGTAATGTACAGACTTCTCTATTTTCATCCCACACTGTAAATAAAACATGTGATTGGAATTTGTTTAGATTTTCTGTTTATATTTTGTTGTTATTTTGTCCCCAGCATGGCAACCCATAAG